TGAGCTCAAGGAAACGATTCACTTTATTGCGAATTTCCCAGCTTACGAGGAGAGCGGGTTGGCAGACGAAGCTCCATTCAATCATGTTTGTCTGTCTTAAATTTATAGTACAATTGACTCATGAAGGTCAGTCTTAGAGACAAAGAGCCCCACTCAAGTTCCCCGAGACATTCTGATCCATCTCGTCAGATGAAGAGGCTTAAAGAGACTCAAAATACTAGCTGGACTTTAATTAACTGCAGGCGCCATAAAGAGAAGGAAATAAATTTTGCAGTTTAATTAAAATTTCAGAGGAAAGACCAAGATATCTGCCCAGTTGTTTGGCGCTGATCAAATGCACAAAGCAAACAAACCTTGGAGTAAACAACCAGCAAGCATGGAGAAATAACTGGGCGATGGCATCGATGATTTTCTGCCGAACAGAGGGCCACGCAAAGTGTCAATAACAATTTACACTTGAGACGATATCTCAATATTGTTGCACGCCAGCAACAGGACAACAAAAGCAATCAAGCGGACGGGATGGTGGGATTTCGAGAGCAACAGGACAACGGGACAACAGGACACAATGCCGCTGAAGGATGGGGTGCGGGCTCAGCTAGTTTGTTTATTTAGCCGGCGACACGCAGCAGCACCCCCAAGTGACCAGGAACACCACGTAGCCATCTGTCGCCGGCCAGTCAGCTCCATGTCCACTTCGATCCTATCACTCTCAAGAAAGGTCTCGAAATCGAAGTAAACAACATGGTATCACCCATTAAACAGCAGAGATTAGCATTGGTAATATGAAAAAGAGGAAAACATAACAGATTTAAAACCCAAACTTTTGAGAGTAACCCCATTCATATCAGGTTCTGATTGGTCAAGTATTTGTAATATTTGGGGTCACCTTTCTGATTTGTTTTCTCTTTTTAGGTTCTCAACAATTGCAACAATGCAATTTGTTATATCATTCAACAACACAATTTTAAGGGTGCGTCACTTTAAAAACGAGATGCGATAAGTCAAGATACAGGTTCTGGAAATGGAGTTCTAACTTCCTTTTCCTACGTTCTCAACTCAAATACTTACTCTTTCAAGCCATTTTCCTGTTTGATCTAATAATTAGTGTGTGGACAAAACAGCACCTCACTATAAAGATTTTATTTCTGCAACAATGATTGCACTGGCTGAAAAAAGTACAGAGTTTCGGTAGAAGAGGAGACAACTTTTAAGGCAAGTCAAATAGGACTCGAAAGACAGTGCAACAAGATTTTAGCTCTCAAGGGTGGGAACACGCCCCATATGAACTCGACTCGAGCAAATATCGCGTTTCGTTGGGGATAAGGATGATTGTGGATTGTAAGTCCTGCTCAATGAGCAGTGCTCATTCGCTGGGCAAACACGATTCCTTTCATTCCTGCTAAGCTTTAAGTAGACACATACACGTTCGCCCAAAATAAACACGCCTTGAGTTAAGGGTACAGTGAGTCTCGGGGAGATTGAGCCATCCATCTGGTCATCCCAGGGCCAATGGCTCCGGCACTCCAGCGCCAAATGGAGCAACCTCTCGAGGATCCTTTTCCGTCCAGCTCCTTGGGTATTTATGCCAATTAGCTCTTGTAAATGCTAATTAGGAGCCGGAGCAAGAGTCACAGTCGCAGCGCGGAGGACAGCTGATAAATTAGCCATGAATATTCAGCGGCCACGCGCAACGTTATTTTCCGCAAAATTAAATTATACATTTTTAAGTTGGCCCCGTCCAGACCAAAAAGAACGAGAGCCAAAAGGCCTAGCTTCTTCTACACTGAATAAAAAATTACTACTTTCATAAAAGAAAACTTAATTGCCCAGAAATCACTGGGAGTTTGAAATCACCTATAAAGGTTCCTCAAAGTATGCAATAAAATGTGTTCAGTTTGAAAGTCGAACGAACTGCATACTTTTAGGCACCCTTTTAAGTGTTTTATAAATAATATTATAAATTGATTTTTAGTTGACAAGTAATACATATTAATAACTAAAAACTTTGCAGCAAGTGTATGCAGAGCCCCATCATAATTATCCACTCGAGTATTTACCCTGTCGTCTTTGCTCCCGATTATGATGGCTTCCCGCTGGCCGAGCTGGCCAATCCTTTGGCAAATCATCGACGACGAGTGCATTTGCTCGGGTCAGAAGTTTGCTGGCTGGCAATGTTCCGGCAAATGTATTGCGCAAAACGGCGTGGAATTGCCTTTAAAAACGCATCAAATTATGCCGGAGGAGCAGCATCCACTCCGCGATGGAGGAGCTGCCCCTTCATATTAGTGCACACAAAGCTCCGGCGGATGGGGAACTGGATGGCAAATGGCAAATGGGAAGTGGAAGTGGGTCTAGTTGGCTACTTGGCGTATTTACCAGGCGCTTAACCGACTTTCCGCACGCACGGGAACGGGTCTGCCGGCTGGTGGTTGGGGGAAAAATATATATTGGCAGTGCTGCTGCGCCACTCCGCTGGCAAAAGTGCTCCACAATGGCACTCGTTCAGACAATGTTAAATGCGCGCTCGTTGCGAGCTGTCTGTCAACTTGGCTCAAGTGGTTCCCCCAATCTCTGGCCAATAGCTCCTCCTCCGGCCATCGCCACTCGATCGATTCCCGCCTCTGACAGCGGCACAATGCGGATGCGGATGAGGAAGCGGAGTGCACTTGTCGCCATCATTGACATCAATGCATCGCAGCTGGCTTTTTAGCTGTCGCGCCCAATGAGGAGCAATAAGGGCCGAAGGGATCCGGGGGGAGAGGACCCTGGGACGAAGGACCAAGTGGGTGTTGTTGGCCAAACACTTTGGCATAATTTCCAGCGAATAACTAATGGGCGTGGCTCGCGCTTTGGGCACCCCTCCCTGCCATCGATAGCCTCTTAACCCAGCGCACTGTTCCAAAAAACCAGCATGAACAATGTCAAAATCAGAAAGACCTTTCGTTATTTCAAGTTCTGTTTTATATTTAATTCACTCTAAAATATAAAGGACTGAAGCTCACACTAAGCAGTTGACTACAATCCAAAAATGTTCCAAAAGCTTTCCCAATCACAGGGTAAAGTTAACAGAATAAATATATACATTTAAGATTCATGTATCCATTTTAAATGAATATATCACTCAAACAAATTCAGAATGAAATTTTAATTCTTAATAATATTTTGATTATGAAGCCTCTGACTTACGAATTACCTGTCATTCAGCTTTCACAATTTTGTGTAAGATGCGATTCATCATATTGATTGATTTATGAACTTTACCGAAACACCTTTTATGTAGGACTATATTATTCGTGTTTTGATTTTTGTAAAGATTTTATCTGAAAAAGATGTCTGTATCAAAGCTGAATGATTACGAGAGCCTTCATATTAAAGGGAATTTATTGAGACAAGCCACATAATCGGATATAATCTTCTTAGGGTAAGAAATACATTTTATTGAGGGCTTATCGGTTGAAACAAAAGAAAATGCGAAATTACCCAGCTGAATGCACTTTAATTCGAAAAAAAATTCTCCGGCTTGCATACTTTGCTTTTTTCTCTCTGCAGGTGGCAGTCATTCCGTGTCATATTGAAAGCAGCTTTTACTGTCCGGACAGCAGGCTCAAAACCCTTTATGCAATCTGCATACAAGCGAACAGATTTCTTTGTGCGAGAATTGATTGCATATTACGTATACGTAATGCCGCAAAAGCGCCGCCATTTCTGCCATTTTCTGCCGGCACACGCACAGCAGCCTCATCAATAACTAAAGCCGACAGCTTCGCCTTCCATTCGAAGTGAAGGTGAAAAGTGGGCGGGCCAGACCCGGAGGCGTAGGAGGAGGCAGTGGGCGTGGCTGCCAAGTTGTTAGCACGCTCGACTGATATTATTTTTTGCTCCTTTATGAATTATTCGCAAACGCATTGATTCGCGCGCGGACTCCCAGCCAAAGGCAACAAGGAAGCGAAGCGAAGCGAAGGCGTCTGCTGTGAAATTTTCATTTGGGTTTTATTTACGTTCAATCGGGTTTTCGCGAAATTAGTTAAGTTTAGCGTGAATTTTATTATGCCAGGTAGAGGGTCGAGGGTGGAGAGTAAGGCCTCGAGCGAGCAAACTTCTTAATTAAAAGATTTGCCCACTGATTGGGTATTTGGCCAAGGTAGCAGGAAAACGCGGGGCCACGTAGGAATGTATATTCAATTTGTTAAATGCATTCGAGTGCCATTGTCTGCGGCGATAATTGCCAGAGTTGGTTGTCCGGATGAACTGCGGTGAGCAGTTGGTGACCCCGACGAATCAAAGCCACATGGCCTCCCACACTCCCCAGCCATAAATCTCATTTCATTTTTGCCCTGCCAGCGCAAATAAATTCATAGATATGAGTCGAATGACCCTAACTGACCATTCGACATTGCTTTTTGAACGAATTTATTTACGGCAGTTGTTATTTTTACGAGAGCCTCTACAGAAAATAGCATGGCTCTGTGAAGCCCACACAAACTAGTGCCATTTCCGAATTTAATTTAGGGGCCCAGCCCTGGAATCTCTGTTTAAATCAATGTTGATGTTTGCCTTTGAGGCCATTTAATTGCGGAAGGCGGAATACCTGGTTCGTAAAGAGGGAGAATGCGCTGGAGCGAAGAAATTTCTTCATTGGGCAGCCTGTGCAATTTAAGGACTTAAATTCCATAACTCGATTAATCATCGATGCTTTAAATTTACGTTTAATTAAATTTCCTTCGAGTTTAAGTTATCAATAGTTGGAATATAACTCTGTGGGGTTCCTTTTAATAGGAGAAAAGCAAGTTGTGCAGAGGAATTTTGTTATTAGACGGTCAGGAAAATTAAAGACCTTAACGTACCTATACTACATTATTATTTATTGGAAAATCGGATTAGAAAGGATTTTGAAGATTATTATTATTATATCATTATATTGAAACTTAGAACTATTTATTCTTAGTTGGTAGCTTAGATTACTATTAATCCAATTACTGGCAGAGCAAAATACAAGCTTTAAAAGTGCAAAATAATTTATTAGGTATCTTCTATGGATCCATTAAAATTCTCGCCAGAAACTCTTCGCAATATTTTCAATTTGATATACCGAAACGAGACATCTTGGGACATTATCAACAGGTCGCTTTCCATCCGTAATTTAGTTGCTTTTGATCTTCAGTTGGTTGAAGTTGAATTTGCTCATGTAGGTGGGACCGAGTTTGGGACTGGGCAATCGGCAGGGTCCCCGTTTGCTATTATAAAATAATATGTACTATGGATCAAGGAAAGGACTTTCCGACCGTACTCACCAGGCGCTGTGAAATTGATCCAAGCTCTCGTTTGCTTCGCGTCTGCTTTTCTCGGATTTACTAAGGACCATATCCCTCCTACGGCAATTGCAGTGATCCTTGAGCAAGGACCTAAGTTGGGTGCTCTGATGACCACCATGACGCACAATCTCGGCCAACATTTTGGCCAGCAGCTCCTCCAGAACCTGTTCGGCACTAGGTCTACTAGCCAAATGAGGATTCACATAGTGCATAACCCGCTGAACTGTCCTTTCGTAATCCACAGGAAGTCCCGTATGCCGATCCATGCGAAATAGCTTGGGAATCCTCTTTTGTATCTTGGGCTTCGTCTGAACCACTGTCCTGCGCCAGATCCTCTGGTTCGGTGGCACGGAAGATGGTTTCGAGATGGGCTTGTTGGCCCTGAACCGAGTCTTCAAGAAACGCTGCTGCTGCGGATCAGTTTTGGGAACTTTCTTAGCGGAGACCTTTTTTTTGGCCATCGATTTGGCACGACCTCGCTTTGTTGAAAGCATAATGGTGTGTTTTCTTGTTTCTAAATTCTTTTTTTAACGGAAAAATTTTGATCGGTTCTAAACGTTTGCTCTGTGCTTATAAATATTGAGAAAATCTACACCAGGCCATCTATATGTTGGATGAAAAGAAATTTTTAAAAAAGATGTGGTAAATAAAATTGTTAAAATTAACTAATAAATAAATTTAGAAATTACTAACGTTTTTAGTTCATTTATATTTGATTGATTGCTGTGATAGAATTAATTTGCCTTTCAAAAGGAAATCATAAATTTTATATTTAAAAATAAATTGTTGCATACTTTTAGACAGCTTTATTTAACAAAATATACTCAAGCTAAGTTTTTTCCTGTGTTTCACAGGTTTTATATCTGCATGTTTCTGGCTGAGTACAATATTTATTGGAAGGACCTGCCGCTTGCGTCAGATGCAAATACTATTTAACTGGGAACATGATTACAATTGCCGTGCCAGATTTATGATTTCATTGCCCACACACACACGGCGGTTTCAGACTTGTTTTCAGACACAAGTTGTGAGCTGATGTGGCCACAGCCCAACATAACTTTTGAAACAATGTCAAACGCAATAAACGTGTGAGTGTGGAGTGTTAAACCGCATTGTTTAAATGCAGCGCTGGCGAACAATGTAAATTGTACATGCGAGAGCACAGGAATATAACATATAGTACATAAGTACGCAGATACGTATAAATTATACGAGATACGGGCGGTCGGCTCCCAAAGTTGACACACCCACCCGCCCACACGAAGGCGTACAATAACAAATAGTGGCACACTCAGTTGGATTGCAAAGGACGCAGCAGAAATAGAACAAAAGCAATATAATTAATCATCGAAGAGCAGGCCAAGCAGAAACAGCATGCTGTTAAAGCATCAGCACAGCAGAGCAGCAGGAGGAGAACCAGAAACAGCATCCCGGCGTCAGGATCGCATCTAGAATTAGGGACCTCCCTCGTGGCAAGCCTCGAAAATGACATTTGCGGAGCAAATATTGTTGCAACATTGCTAACAACATAATTCACATTAACGGCCTGCAGATACGACTGTGCAATGCTCTACGGCAAATGTCCTTTTGATTGGATTGATTACCTATACCATGGCTAGCTCTTAGCAACCCTCTTAGAATATACATATATGAAACATGGTCCTTCGAGCCGGATTATTTTTAAAGTATAGTATCATATGTGTACATTTATAAATATATTTCATTTGATATGCTTTGATATACATTTTTGTCATTCAAAACATTAGTCCTTTAATTTAGATCTTCTTCCAATTAAAAAGAAAATGTAATGTCGGGGAAGCTAAGAAGTTGTTTAACAGACCATAGTGTTAACAAGAACTTCGTTGGGTAAGTAAAGTTTGTAAGTCCCCAGCGTCAACAAATCGATATGGCAAGCCCTAAAACAAATCCCCTGGCAGATCTTGTCCGAAATGAAGAGTACTAATGACACACACTTGCTTTTGGCACGGGGGCGTAGACCAGAAGGGCGTGGCACTCGGCAGCATTGTGTTTATGTTGCAGCTAGATGCACTGAGAGTATCTGCAACTGCCATTGCAACTGCAACACTGTGTGCAATCAATTATGCTGGATGGGTTATAGCCACCGATGCCAGACGCTCGCCCACAATGATGCAGTGTGCAGCTGTCAGGAGTCGGAAGCCCATCATCGATGGCAGGCGAACCATATAGAGATCCAATTCCATTCGACTTGGAGCACTCGGGGTATTATCCCAGGCTAAGTTCAATTAGGGACGTGGGTACGCAACGTGAAATTGAAAAGCATAAATGTCATTCTCTATTCCAAACGTCAAATTTGATTTTTTAAGGCAGCGAAGCCGAAGCAGACAAAGCGGGGAATTTCTATAGCCAAGGAAATGACTTCACACCTTCGCCCTCCGCAAAGTTAGAGAGAAAGAAATGGATCAAATATAGATTTATGTGTATCATGTCAAAATAAATGGATTTTACATGTTGCCACAAAGCGTTCCCTGCTCGCTCCTGCTCGCCGACTGAATCCTTGCGTCACAGGACGTGAGGGCGCAGGACGCCAGGACGATGATGGCGACAAACAGCAGCAACAATGAAAATATAACGTGGCATTAAAATGTCATTTCATACTCATACAAACAAGCTCATATAACGCTCCCTTTTGTTGGAGGATGAAACGTCGGCGGGGAAGCGAAATATTAAGTTAATATGTTTGATTTGGGGGTGGGAACTCCTCTTTGATCCCTTGAAATTTAGCGAGGTGCAGACAGGATATTGGCAGCTGCTTGCAGCCACACAGGATATTAAAGCCATAAAGATGAAATATTTCAGCGCTCAGCATTCCCCGTCAGCAATCAGGTGCGATCCACAGCCCTGCCTTCTCCCGATTGCGATTCCCAATCCGAAGCTAGACAAATTCCCCCAACAATGGGGATTATTCAAATTATATCCCACTTCTCGAATCTGACAGCCCGTCACAGTCGTCACCTAGGCGGAGAAGTCGTCGTCCCTCGAAAGCCTGGCACGTCTATTTGTGTTTGCTCTCCCGATTCCCGAATCGTTGCCTATTTTCCGGCAGCCACCTCTCCAGCACTCCCAGTGTGACACATGATGCCATGTCATATAATTTATCAGCGCATTTTTGGCATTCAACTCGCGTCCTGACATTGCCCTGAAAGGCCAAAAAAAAAGACTGCTCTCGCTGCCCTGCAGTGCCACCAAGTGGCACATGGCCTGCCCCAACTCAGTCAAATGCCAAAAACCATATATGAGAAAGTGCACAGAGAGTAACCAGAACTTACCTTCTGGTAGAATCCATTATTGTTTCGAAATTCCGTTCGATTACTGTCCTATATTGTAACTTTCTTAGTTTCGACAGCTACTGAAAACCTTGAAATTCCTATTTATTTACATGGTATGTGGTCCCTCGAGCCGGATTATTAAGAACTTTAACTCCATATACAAAGGAATGAAGCTCTACGATTCTTATCTTCCTCAGGTTATTTCCTATATGGTTCTTTAAGTCTATGATCCGACTCTTCACATTCTTCAATATATTTTGTGGAAATGCATCCCTATTTCTCCCAGTGCTGCAGCGCTATACCATGTTCGGATATGCCAGCTCCCTTGAGCTTTGTTTTCGTTTCTCCTCTTTTCTTTCCGTTCCTGCTTTTCATTTTGATAAATATGTGGGGGGCAGAAATCTATCATTTCGCGTGTCGCATAAATAAATACATCAAGAGGCACCACCCCCACGCACACCCTTCTTTCGGTTCAGAGGGCAAAGGGGAGCGGCACACAAACTGTTAATCAACGGAAAATGGGAAACCCCCTCCTCAACGCTTCTGCTGTTGTTGTTGTTGTTTTGACTGTGCTGGGGAGTTGGCAATTTGTTTAGTCGTTAAACTTTTTTAGCGTTTCGTTATTTAATGCAAATTGATGATAACGGGCGACGCGCTAATGAGTATACGAGTATGTACCCCGGATGACGGGAAAACAGAAGCCGAAGGGTCGCTCATAACCCATTCTTTGGGAGGACCCTAAATAGAATGTACCAATTTACCAGCACAAGCGCAGCATAAATATCTAACATCCTCATACTCGTCGGTTGTATACAAATTTAATGAATGTTCCCGTTTTCGGTGGCCCATAAATAATCAACGAGCGTTCTAGGAACTCGGCACTGCGGAAAAACTGAGTGTCTTTTTTGGTAACCACGTGGAATTCTTTTTTTATTTTGTTAGAATTTCCACAGCTCCTAAAATGACTCATCCTTTGACTTTGTACTTTCCATTTTCTCTCTCTGTGCTTTAAGCCATAAATAACACACACAATTGGCGCATTTGTGGTTGTTGTTTCGCCCTTTCTGGTGCGACACCTTTTATGTGACCGGGGAGCCTCAGTTTGTTAAATGAAATTCGTTAAAAGTCCTGCCAAAGGAGTGGAAAAGCCCCGGCAGCCAGCTGCTGGCATTGCCAAGAGCACTTTTCCTGCGTTTCGGCTTGGTTCGGTTACGTGTGCAGTCAATTCCACTCGGCTGCCCATTGAAAAGTTTTGCACTTCGCTGCACAAAGGACATGGAGGCGAAGGAGAACCTTTAGCATCACAGAGGGCAACATCAAGGCCACCGAAAAGGGTTGGTGGTGGGCCTTAATCGTAGTCCCCCCTGGTGTCGGAAAAAACTAAACACTAAACATCATAATACAACAAAACCCCCTCGAGCGATAATAATTTATGTGCCATACTAAAAACATTGTTGCATAACTTCATTTCCATTTCCGGACTTTTTCCTGAAACTTTGGCGCTTATTGAACTCCCATGAAAATGCGTTACTGCAAGAACACGTAGGGACAATATGCATACACAGAAAAAATATCAATTTCCTTATGACAGACTAAGGAGTTTAATATTGAATAGTGTTAACTTGATATTGAAAATTTCAATTCAATCAATACGGCGTCTAAATTTACTATGAGTAAGAGTGACAAAGACATAATATAAGTTAATCTACCCCTTTTCTAACATGATTTTCTTGTCCCTGACATTTTCGAACATGTCAAAGTGAGACAGCCCGTACCCATACTAACTTCTCAAGAAATTCATACCCTTACAATTTTTTGTATCAGTGCAGCGAACGGAATTACCATGCGTCGAGCAACTTTGTTGTGTCCTACAATATCTCGGAAAAGCTGAGGGACAGAATCCCAAGCGGAGTGCCAGTCCATTTCCTTGACTACCGAAAACACCCGATAGCCAAGACCACGGCCATTACAACAGCCGATGATGTGGTGGGGGCTCTCAATTGGAGGGGGAGATGGGTAGCCGGGTAGCTGGGCAGCTGGGAAGCTGGGGCAGATGACCACCGGACGGCGGTGATATGACCGCAAAACCAATACGAGTGCCAGGACGATTCGATTTAATGGAAAATCGACCGCAGAAACAGCAACAACTTAAGCGATTCAGAAATTGCAACACACGCTGCCCCGCCGAATCCCCTGATCCTTCCGTCCCGATTTTCCACATCTGACACACTTTTGGGACACTTACACACACTCGACGAGAATCTGGCCTCACGGGCC